TCGAATCTCATATGGAGCCGCTTCCGGCGGCCCTTCAACCGCTGGTCCTGCTCGGATCGTGCCATCTTCTGGATGGCCAGCTATGGCTGACTCCTATCCGCATAGGCATTCCCTGACCGGAGCGATACCTCAACATGGCACCTGGCAACATGACCCAGTCGCTGCTCATGTGCAGATGCCAGGAAGTGCTGCCTTAGCCGCACCTGCGATTCAGGACGCGTATGGACTCCCTCCGACTGGTTCTCTATATCCAGTACATGCGCCTCAAGTGCCGTTCAATCCCGCCTTGGGATACCCGGCACCGCCCACAACTCAATATACAGCTACAATTCCACCGTCTTCTTCATTTCCGCATATGCAAGACATGGCCGCAGCTTTACCACCACTACAACCGCCACCGCCTGTCGAAATGCCAATCGGAAGGTCTACACCGTCGCCGATGTGGCCGGGCGGTCCGCCCGGGGTTCCAAATGTCGTACCAATGGCGTATGCGTATGCACCCACACCGTCGCCCATGACATCTTTCCATAACGCACCCCAGCCTGCTGCACCCACGTATCCGTACGAATCCGGGCATCTACAGGAACTTGCGCGGCCGTCTTCCACCAATATACCGATATACCCGCTTATCGACAATCGGCCTTCTTCGTCGATGGGTATACCGCAACCTCCGGATCGACCTTACTCTACTACTTCGACACATTATCCATCAGCGGTGACTTCCTCGTTTCACATTTCTTCAATGCCGGTCAATTCCGCTCTGTCGAATTCCTCCAATTTGCCAGCGCATATGCAGTACGGCGGGCCAGTACCTCCATCGAATGCTTCCACTGCGTATCCTGGAGAAGCGATGCGTTATCCGCCGCCGCCATCGAGAAACGACGGACAGGCGAATCAGATCTTGCCTACGAGTCTCTCCTACCCAGAAACGGCGGGTCATCATCAGCCGCAAGCGTATACGTCTGCTTATCCGCCGGCGCCGCCAACGCAACCCGGCCCGTCTTCAGCCTGGATTTCCAGTGAGCCAGACTCGAGACCAGGAAGGAATTATCTGCGGTCTTTGGGCGTAGGAGAAGGAGCATCTGCTCAACCACCAAGTTTGATAAGATCGCCGTCGCCCATGGCCCCGCCCTCAACTTATACCGATCAGCGCAACTACTCGGACCCGACATCGTCTTGGACCAGCCCGCCATACCCGCAGAATTACGCTTCGGGGGGGTATGACGATACCCGACCCTCGGGATTCATCCCTCCGAACGACAACCAGAACCCGAATCACTACGGACTACAAAATTACTACAACTCGCCCGCGCATCAAGCTTCGGCCGCTGGATACTGAACTCGTACATGAAGTACCATGATTTTTGTACACAAGGAACTTGTTTTTTCCATTACAACGCTACATAAAACTGTATACAAGCCTTTCGATGGCAAATGAGGTCACTCCATCAATCCCAACCGTCATCACTATCGTCGCCCGCTTTCCCGCGGCGTGACCGCCTGTTATCTCTGACACTCCTGATTATTTTTTGGCGGCGCGTATTGAGGTTTCTCTCGTCACCCTCCGAGTCATGGTCCTCGTCGCTGTTGTCTGCCCTAGCCATGCCTGGAATCAAAGTTTCCAGCTTGGTCACTTTTCTGTATCCGGCGGGAGGTAGGACGCCTATACACACAAGTCCCTCGTCGTCCCATCAGCCAGATTCGCATAACGCAGTGCCCTGAGACTAACCTGATCGCTTGAGCCGGAACTCCAGAGCCGCCGTTGAGAAGCTGTCATCATTACCAAGCTCCTCAAACCCGATAAGTCTGCCAGTATCCCCGCAGTATGTTAGCGGTAGCTCGTCGTACAGCAGATTGACCAGAATACCAACCTATCTGTTGCATTTCCGTTGATGAACGAAATCACGCATGGCAAGACCTTGACGCCGAGCCGAGTCACCAAAAAAGGTGCGTTATCTACCGAAGTTCGCAAGAATAGAGTGTTCGGATGTTTCGGTGCTAGAGTCTGTTTGCAAGCAATGTCAGAGAAACCTCTCAAAATAACGTTTCGACATGCTCACTTGCAGGTGCTTGTCCATAATTGCACATCGCTTGAAATCTGGATGGGAAAAGTGAATGATGCAAAACTCTTCCTTGCTGATAGTAATGTAAAGTTCAGCGAGGCCGACCGAGTCGATTTGTGTGAAATGACACCTACGAACTACGCTGTATCAAATCCCTCTCTTCCGTGATCTCTCTATAAGATCCATACCATCCATCTGTTCCGCCCTGTCGCTGCAAACTCTTTGTACGTTCCATGTCATCCGCCATCTGCTGCAGACGAGCTTCTCTAAACGCTCCCCAGTCGAAAGCCGAATCATTTTTGCCTTCTCCTTGTTCGATGTTGTTTTCGAGCTCTTCAAAGAGCTCGTTTGAGGATATCGAGGAACTTCGAGACCTGTGCGCCGGGATGAGCCTCGCGTTTACCTGCCGATATTACTGTGCAGACTCACTTGGGCATATTAACTAGTTTGTATGGTGATGCAGGCGATGTAGCGGATATGCATAGAGGATAGATACGCATGAAGTAGAAGAGCCCCTGCTGTTTCAGACTTTGATGCAATAATAATAATGTTATTTGATTGTTGATCGGCTCCGGCGGCCGCGCTGATTATTGGTGGGCTTGTTGGCGGTGGTCCTGTTTGAATAGGGATGAATGATGATGTAGAGTCTATTAGGTGGAGTTCCTCATGACGGCTATTCTTTGCATTCCCGTCATCTCACCAGGATAGCCGATTACCATATCCATCGCCACCTTTCGTCAGTCAGTAGCAGCGTATTCAAAAAACAATATGGTTCGGTCCACAATGATTTTCAGGGTTCCCGACGGCCTGCCTCTGGCCGCTAGTGTTGATGACAATGGGGTATGTAATGCAGGATTTCATACCAGCACAATCCTATAAAGTTGACCTTTTGATTCCCTACCGTAGTCGGAGCAGCAGCTGGCGGAACCGAAGCAGCAGTCGAAACTGATTAGCAGAAGGCTGACGGAAAAGAGCGAACCAGCGTGTTCAATAGAAACAGGAAACTTTCTGATTCAGTGAGCTATATACGGCTCTTGCCTTGGTAGTGTGAATCTGACCTGTCATCCGTCGTCAGCTATCTCCTAGTGAATCAAGTTGCGTATTTGACGATATGCGATAAATCATATCCGAGGAAACTGGCCTTTTCGTATCTGGACGAGCTATCAAAGGAATTCCAGCGATCGTATGAAAGCCAGATTGCCAGTGCCAATAGACCGTATAGCTTTAGGGGTTTCGGTAAGCTCTTCGAGTTCCTCGTACTCAACCATTACTCACCATAGAAAATCATAGATACCTTCATCTCGAAAACAACGCGACTCTATGCGGACACCCGAACAGCACAAACAAATGCCCTGGCTCAAGGTTCAACAGACACTCAGTCGGGATCCTCGAATCTCGACAAGATGAATGCAGAGCTACAGGATGTTACTCGGATAATGACCAAGAATATGGAAGATTTGTTATGGAGAGGAGATAGCTTGGATCGTAGGTCTGGCCACCGGCAAGGCGGGCAGCTGTAGAAGCTGATGAAGATGATCCCCTTGTTCTTAGGTATGTCTACATTGTCGACCTCGCTTCGGTCGGAATCTGCCAAGTATCGCAAAGCCGCGCGGAATATCAATCTACAAGCCATGTTGCGAAAATGGGCGCCGGTGGCAGGAATCGCATTCTTCATGCTTGTCTTCATCTATTGGCGGTTCTTCTAGGGTGAATGCGGTAGTGCTGGAGGCGATGCTGGTAGTTGCCTTGTGGACATTGTGTGTTGTAAGCAGTATGCAGTTTCCATCATGAATAGTTCTCAAAGTCGATCTACCGCATGGCTCGGGTCACAACAGGTGGTAGGTGAGCGCTCCATTGCATGAAAGATCTCGGCTCCAGGTGTGATACGGTATATCCCTTGATGTCGGCGAGCAAGCATGCAGGGTCGCAGTCGAGCCGAGCACACAGCGCTGCGCTGTGTTGTTTTGATAACGCTCAAGATCAATACATTCTTTCTAGGTATGCGACCGAAAGCCAAACTGGGCGTGAAGGACCGTACTCGAAGGCTCATTTTGGGTATGTGTCGCGGTTTCCGAAAGGAAGAGTTGAATGCCATCTTGATGAACGAGTGAAGAGCTTCGAACAAGGATGGTTTATATGCAATAAAATCCTATGACATTCTCTATCGTGCAGACTCCACGGCGAGTGGAGGTGTTCAGCAGATGGAAGCGACATTAGCAATTTGAACATGTCTAGAGCGTGGAGGGCAAACAGTTCGCAGACCTTCTTGGCCGATCAGCCGTCTATTGTTGTCGGTACTGCGCGATATCATATTTGAAACGATACCAAGTTAAGGTCCATGCAACCTGGACCTGCCACATGCCCAAATTGTGACGAAAGGTCTCGGCTATGATATGGTCGCAGGCGGTCTGTCTTTGTGGCGGCCTTCGGAAGTCTTCCTCGACCTTTTGATTCATTGACGCATCGCATTGGTATAGGTCCCTCTTTGCGCAGCACACCAGGAAAGCTGCCACTGCTGTGATTGCAGTAGATGACAGATAAAGGGCACGCAAAGTAGCAGATTCTGGTGCTGAACTTCCACGACGCAGCTGTGGTTTTGTTAAAAACTAAAGCTGAAATGACCTCATTGGTGAGGAGACGCCGTCCTTCGACCTGCGGAGCAACAGAAAGGTCAGGAAACGGATTGCAGACATTATGTGACCTGAGCACGATACACAGAGGAGAGCAGTGGGCGCGTCAGAGACACGACATGTGTCCTTCTTGGTGTGCAAAGAAGGATGACTGGCTGATCGTGGCTGGCTCGTCACCGCGGCAGCATGTTGCCACCGAGGAGACTTTCCGTTCATGTAGCAAAAAGGTGAAGATGGGGTCCGCCGAAGTCACAGCAGGATCACGGGCCCGCAGGATAGTGTCCCGTCAGCAGAAAAAAAAGCAAATATGCCTCACCGGGATTCGAACCCGGGTTATTTGGACGTTGATGCTTGAGGGAGCTCAAAACCAAAGGTGCTAACCGCTACACTATGTGGCAATGTGTATTCATGTAAATTCTGTTATATTCATAATCTTGCGATACAAGGGGCGATCGGTGAACAATAGCGGTCTCGCAGAACGCCGTCGACCCTGGCTTCATTGTTTTCTTACGGCACTGTACAGTGCACGTCTTGGTTCACTATTATACCATCGACCGTACTCGAGTATCACGACGACACATTGAAGTCCCGTTCAATCGCATCCAGCAACCGCCAACCGCAACTTGAACAACGTTACATATTTTGCCCATCGTCAATTATGGTCAGTCTAGCTTTCAGCAGTGATTTGAGGCACATGCTAACGATGTATTGAATGGCAGTCCGGCGAAGAAGCGTACATCCCATATGGGAAGCGTCCTGAATGGAATGATGTACAACCGGTACCGCAACAGGACGCTCAAGATGGCCTGGTGCCTATTGCATATTCCAGAGAATGTAAGTTGGCCAGTGGTAGAACATCCAGCCAAGTTCGATCGAAACCCACCCCTCCCCTCCCCAGATTCCGATGCCATGGACTACTTCCGAGCCATTGCTTCAGCGCAAGAGTATTCAGAGAGGGTACTGGATCTCACAGAGCACATCATTCGTCGGAATCCTGCTCATTACACAGTCTGGTATGTTCAGCCATGCGCGAGTCACGTTGTAGTTGTCACTAAAAAAAGTACGTCTTTTCGCCCACAGGCAGTACAGAATGAGTACCTTGCTGGCGCTGCAAAAGGATTTGCAGCAGGAGCTCCAGTTGATGAACGAATTTGCAGAGGAGAATTTGAAAAGCTATCAAGTCTGGTGAGTTGTCTGTATCCGACACACAACCTCTGTACTGAATCTCGTCCTCGCACTAGGCACCACCGTCTTACCCTCATTACTCACATGGAACCACAACTCTCGGAACTGACGAAAGAAATCGACTTTATTCACGATTCTCTCATGCCCGACCCCAAGAATTATCATACGTGGGCCTATCTGAATTGGCTATACTCGACGTTTTCAAACTTGCCAGAGGAACGCGGCGGAGATCGTTTCTCGAGCCAGTCTTGGATGGCGGAATTGGCGTGGTGTGAACGTATGCTCGATAGCAACTATCGATTTTCGCGTTCTCGTTCAACAGAGGGTCATGAATGGCTGAGTGACAAGGTTGAATTGCTCTCGGGCGACGACAAGGTCGATGAACACGTTATCGGTCGAGGGGATGGGCGAAATAACTCGGCCTGGAGTTGGAGGTGGTATCTCGTAGTATCGAGAAAAGGCGCCAAACTAGATGCTAAAACTGAACTAGAGTGAGTGTTTGACCGCGGTTTGACAAGCGACCCGACGTTCTGACTAGCATAGCTCTAAAGATACGCATTGTCGCAAATTCGAGCGATCCCGCACAACGCATCGGCTTGGAACTATTTACGCGGGTGAGTCTCGTCCGCAGAATGCTCACGCGTCTCTTGATACTGATCAATTCGACGAACAGAATTCATAAGCATTTCAAGCTGCCACTATCCCAGTCTCTTCCGGCGATTCTTCCATTCAGCACAACACCAGCTCCGTCCGTCACCTCGTCCATACCGCGAAAGCCACCACCAGTCAACACTCCAGCCAATCCCGATACGCCCTTGCCCGTCCCATTCGCTATAGAGTGGCTGGCGGATTGCAACGCTGAGCAAGCGGCGGCCAAAAGTAGTAGCGATGCCTACGCAGATGCGGCTGGACTTTACCACGAGCTGGCTGAACGATGGGATGTCATGAGGAAAACGTGCGTCTTTTCTCTTCTTCAGTTGCCGCAACTCGCTCACGTCTTTCTTATTTTTGTGGCCTGGATAGCTATTGGAGATTTAGGCAAACAGAGATGCTTCGTCGGGCATCAGATTTGAAGAGGGCCGAAAGCGTGGCGGCTGCGGCGCAGGAGGCGTGAGGCACCATTCGGTGTGAGAAGAATGTCTGTTGTAGTAGCAGATTGACGTGAATCTATAGTTATGGCTGGTATTGTTGTTCCTTGGCGAAACTCTTTGCGTACCAAACTCGACGCCTGCCGTCGACAGTGCTCATTGCTATAAATGTGACAGCGTTCTCTTAGTTCAGTGTTAACAACCTGACCTTTCACCTTGCTCACCAAGTAATAATGCATCTCTTCTTTTGCACAAAAGTCATCACATGCGAACAGAGAAACCGGATAGGGGCGATGATCGCCACTTTTCGCTCGATACGGTCACTTTCATGAACCCATCATCTTCATCAGGAGCTTACACATTACCTGACACGAGTCTAACACACTTCACTCTGACCCGCATTCCTTATTCGAGCTTCAACGCACACTTTCGACAGCGTACCTATCCTTACCTATCTACAAGCGTGAGATCAAGACAAACATCGGCGCATTGGGACGATGCTCACGAACGATCAGGTGCACCAAAACTGACCATGGCGGCCATGGATATGAACTGACGACCGAAACGATCTCCTCGACCAGAACCCTTCCAGTCGAACGGCATCTCTGGAAGTTAAAAAGGAGGCCCTCCAGGCAGAAATTGCGGATTTGGAAAGGCAACTCGGGTGAGTAGATATCGCCAGTAACGACTATCTCCGTCTGTAGTGGATCGCTCATCCCTTCATTGTCGGACAGAGGGGTTGATGCTGCCAAGGTGGTTCAGGGTCACATCGAGCTTTTGCATACGTACAATGAGGTCAAGTGAGTCAATCTTCCTGGTAGCTCCAAGCTCCGCCGAGCCCTTCATAATCCTCGATGCTGATGCCCTTCCAAAACGTATTGCCTATAGAGATGGGGCTCAAGCTCTTATTGGCCGAGTCAGTGAACCTTCTCGATATAATGGTCGCTATCGCTGATCATACCCAGGTCCTGTCGTTTGCATTTGCTTTCTTTGCCTACATCGTCACTTTTCCATTCACGTCCATATAACGGGGACTACCACCGGTCGGTCCTGTTCAACAGTATGCTCTGCTGACGGGAACCACAGTCACTGACGTTCACGAAAGACTTGGGTTAAGCTTGACTGAGTAGGACAGATGGAGCGACGGACTCATCATAGCCCATTCAGGCCCATCATCACAAGCTTGCCGAAGAAGCTGGAGATGCAGATGAGGAGTGAGGAGATGACCCGGATTCGTCATTGTAACCACCGTCAATTCAATTCTTCTTCTTCATCATTCGAATCTTCTCCGTTCTTCGTGATGATTGAACATTGTACATTGTATACTGGAAAGAGTAGAAATGTCCTGATATATAGAGTAGCAAGGACGTCCGTGAATAAAATAATGACAACCAATGAAACCGGACCGCTACTGACCAAATTGCAATTATTATTGACGAGCTAATAAAAGAAGTTATACGACGACGCTATCCGGCCTTATGCGAAATTCAAGAGTCGACATACATGTGGGCTTTGGCATTCCTCCGGGCAATGACTACAAGTATATATGCATCAACTCGACGGCTGCTTGAGCTTGCCGGACTACCTTCGCTGTCGCCTCACAACATCTCCCTAGCCCGTCATGTCAACGCCCTATAAGAGAGGGCCGATTCACCTCAGCTCTTCCTCGGATCAACAGAAGGAGCTCGATGTCGAATCTTTGCCGATTCCCAACACTACCAAAGACCATCCAGTCAAATCCCGTTGGAACTCCCCTTTGCATCTGTCAGGTCTGGCAATCTCGCTTCTAATCCTTGGATACTTCAGCCATATTCCTTACTTTCCTCACCCTGGGCCAACTCCCAAGCCTCCGATCTCCGACGTCGTCAATCGAGGTCTTCAGCAATGTGAAGCCATAAAGATCATGCCTCCGGACACCACCCACTTCAGGGTCAACAGAACTGTTAGCGACCGGTTCGAATCCAAGAACGCAAAGCCAGTCTTGCTGAAGAATGCAACAGTCTGGACTGGTAGAGACGCCGGCGAGGAAATCCTTTACGGCGCTTCAGTCTACCTACGAGGAGGTGTAGTGGTCTCGGTTGGAACGGAAACCCACGTCAGGAGTCTTTTGCACGGCGCTGTCGAGGAGATTGATGTGGAAGGTCGGTGGGTCACACCCGGTATTGTGGATATGTAAGTCCTTAATCTCCTTTCTTGGCTCTGAATCCGGCCGACGACCGATACTCATCCGACCACCGCTTCCCAGGCATTCTCATGCTGGTGTCGACGCCTCGCCTAGTCTGCGAGGATCGGACGATACCAACTCAGTGGCTGCAGATGTTAACCCTTATTTGATGTCCATCAATGGATTCAACACTCACGATGCGGCGGCAGAGTGGATCATTTCAGGCGGTGTGACCACCAACCTCATCCTGCCTGGCAGTGCTACCTCTATGGGCGGACAAGCATTTGTCGTTAAACTTCGAAAGACAGAGATCGATAGCCCAGCAGCTCTTATGGTAGAACCACCTTTTGTCTACGATGGAACGGCCAACCAAAGCTTTGTTCGGACGGGATACAAGCGATTTGTCAAAACTGCCTTTGGGTAAGTCGAGCCCTGGTAATGGCCTTCTTGCTGTCGCTCCATACTGACAAGACTGTGGTTTACCATGTGCAGAGAAAATCCGAGCAGAGTATTCTCCCAAACTCGACTTGATTCAATCTGGCATCTTCGCCAGAAGTTTCAGGAAGCGTCAAACCTCAAACAGGCTCAAGATGACTGGTGCGCTAGAGGTGAGGAAAACACCGACCAATTTCCGGATGATATCACACAAGAGCTCCTTGTAGATATCCTCAGAGGCAAGGTGAACGTGTGAGTACACTGTTACGTTACAGATGCATATTCCTTTTCTGACACATCTTTTACAGTAATTCGCATTCATACGAAACCGTGGACTACAATAATCTTGCCCAGCTCACGAACCAGTTCAAGTTTCACATCAGCACCATTCACCATGCTCACGAAGGGTATCTGACCATACCTCGACTGAAGCAGTTCTATGGCGGACCACCCGCTGCCGCTATTTTCGCCACCAACGCACGCTACAAGCTCGAATCTTTCCGAGGTAGCGAGTACGCGCCGTATA